ATGACCTCTGAAACGTTGGTAAACATCGACCAGACTACACAGCGCAACAACCCAGAAGACAGAAATCTTCATACTCATCGCCCTGATGACGGAGCAGCATGACCTCGGAAATGATGGTAAACATCTACCAGACTACACAGCGCAACAACCCAGAAGACAGAAATCTTCAAAAGAAAGTATACTTAATTAATATTTGATTGAGCCAAAACTATTGCATACTTAACATTATTCTGAGCATAAAACATAATACTGTATACAGTTCACACAGCCCACAACTACAGCTCTTTTTATCAACACTATTCGCAGTAATTAAATTATGCTATATCCTACAGCTAGCAAATCGCTTACTTTAACCCTCTGAAGCTTTACTTGCCTTATTGTGTGGTACACCTGAATTTTTCACTTCCAAATATCGTACAGCTTGCCTGCATATGTGTCCGTTTCTAACATACAAATAAAACTTCTCGGCCTTGGACACAACTGAATTCCAGCTTACCATCATTAACTGTCAGAGTTACTTACATGTTCCATAATTCAGAAAATATACATGTCAAATCTGTGACCATAATTATTTGCAAAAACCAGTCAAATTGAAAACAAAGAAGTGCAAAATAAATGTATCAGGCATAGCATCCGTCAGTAACCTACTGATCACTGGTTCAACCTGGTGAGAATTTTAAATAATTGCTAGGAACAAAAGAACTCAAGATAATACAGTAAACTCCCGATTACCTGGGGGCAGATTAACCAGGGTCTATATCATTAAAAAAAATATTAAGAATTAATTTAGAAACCATGTACAAGTTCAACATTTAAAAAGAAAGCAATAAATACAACAATTAAATTATTTAACATATTAAAAAAATCTAACTGTTACTCAAATCTGAACTTCACAACAACAGAAGGTTATTACAGCCCATTGGAATCCTTTATTAAAAAAATAGTATGTACTGTATCAAATTTTATATAAAATCCTTTCTGTTATTAGCAAATCTTTAAAAATTTAAATAGTACGTCTTTAAATAAACATACGTATCTGTTACATTTGTGTGCTTTTCTTTAATTTTTGTGGATTATCAGAGGTTTCCGATTATCCAAGAAAATATATTCTTCCCAACTAACCTGGATAATCGAGTCTACCGTAATTCACAGAAACAAAATTTTAACTGCTACAAGTTAATTCGGGATAATATAATTACAGCAACATTTTTAAACATGACTTAATTCAAAGATTGCCATCTTCTGGGTTGTTGCACCGTGTAGTCTCGTGGACATCTACCAGACTACACGGTGCAACAACCCAGAAGATGGCAATCTTTGAATTAAGTAAAATCCCACGACTTAATTCAGGATAACGGTGATTGAATGAATACGACTCCACTTACACCTCGATACTAGTAATTGTCAAAGATGAAATATACAACTGAGATCTCAGTACCTCCGTGTTACTGTAGTATGTGCTCCATGCAGCTCTAAGAGACTGCTGACCACCCAAATCCCACATTATGAAATGGATATTCTTCCAAACCACTTCTTCAACATTTGAACCAATAGTAGGGGATGTGTGAACAACTTCATTCATCAGGTACTGGTAAAGTATTGTGGTCTTTCCTGCATTGTCCAGGCCCACCATCACGATCTTGTGCTCTGCAGAACAAAAAATCAGCTCACGCAAATAGTTCACTTAAACCTCTCCATATCAGCAAGGCAACACAGCTGATGAGCCAGGTTTTGTTCTGTTGTGATAAAACTTTCTGAAGTAATCAGGAACAACAATCAATACTGATCACCTGAAATGATTTTGTCACTTTCATTTGTAGCGAAAAGTCCTGCCTTCTGCTACATGTAATTCATACATAATAAGAGCCACGCAAAATATTACATTTTAAACATTTTTCAAGTCTTACTTTGGTCAGAAATTTCTCTCTCTTATAAGAGGGATATCTGATTACCTCCTGGTAATTGTTAAAAGTGTAAAATAATATATATTTATTTGCACTAGTAATTCGCATGGTTCCGTATGCTGCCGAGAATTCTGATCATGTAATGCACGAACAGACTGAGGTCACAATTCTTTTACATTAAAAACGTACATGAGAATTCATAAATAGTGCTATTTGTAAAAGGTGTATAATGTAAAGGTAATAAAACTTTTATCTTACCTTCATTACCAAATAAGCTCCAAATTTTTGTAAACAACAACCCCATGTTTACCCTTGCTCTCACAACAATGCACAAGTTTGCAAAGGCAATGTACACAGTATAACTGCAACAATACACAATACTGAAATCTGTAACAATACAAAATGCTGAAATATGTAGCAATACAAAATGTTGAAAACAGTAAAAAAAACAGTTATTTTTAAGGCCCTTACTATAGTGACAGCTAAGATGACGGAATCTGTATAAAGTTTAAAATATATGCATGCATTAAGGGCAATTCTTTTAACTGGAAGGTAACAAATTCAAAGCAAAATCTCAGCATCATAAACATATTTTACTTCTACATACATAAAAATCTATTACAAAAATTAGAAATTCTTTGGGACTCTATTTGGAGGTAAGAATACTATAGGACTATTATGGAGGAAGGTAAATAAACCAAAGAAACTTAGTGTTTCTACAATTTTAACAGCCAATGAGTGTCTAAAGTATGCTTCTCCCTGTACTGGAAAAGCTTTAAATTCTTTATGATCAATATATTTTTAAAAAGTTACAGTGAATGATTAGGACCATTCCTTCAATAAAAAAGAATGATATCATTAGGCAGATGGATGAATAAACAAGGCTTATAGACAAACCGATAACAGGTGCACTCCATGGATTATGATGATCAGGATGTGGAACATGTCATTTACATTCATAAAATACTTCAAATACAAAACACCTAACAACACTATCATGCAATCATGATCCAGAATAAAATAATTAAAAGCCGTCCCACTATACGCCATGCAGGCGCTTGGGGGAGAGGCAGTATAGCTCCTACTAAATCTTGACCTCAGCATTAGATGGGGTGAGCGGTCAGTGTCACGCCCTGGCCGTGCTTAACGCCCGGGAAAGGACCCCGGTACCCTTTAGATAGGAGGCTGGGTGGGCCCCAGAACCGGTCTGGATGCAGAGGCTAGAGGAGAAATCCTCTGACCTCGTCGGGGATCGAACCCCGGTCGTCCAGTCTGTAGCCAGTCACTATAATTATGTCAAGGAAATAATTTCTTCAAAAAATTTACAACTGTTAAGAACATTCAACTGAAGTAAATTCTTTAGAGTAAAAGAACCATTATTATAAACATAATTAGAACACATGCACTTAATACAAATCCACTGACAGCCAGCTTAGTTCTTACAGATGTTATTCTATAAAGAGCATAGGGTACTTGTGGGTTATCGGGACACAAACAAAATACAAAAACACAAAGAAAATGATTTCAGAATCACACGAACCTTCAGCTTTCTATGAGGTTGGCACGACCATAACATAGGTTCTTGCAGAATAAAAAATTAATCCTGTTTAGAAAGCATTAAGTAGGCCATTTGTCGCACTCAAATGACCACAATCACCGACAGAAAACTGTACAGCATACCTAACACATTGTTCTGTATATCTTTCATCTTCAGTCACTAATGTAGAAAAATTTAAAATGGAAGATGGTCAAGTGCCATAACAAAACACCAAAATGTATGTAACATCTGCTTCTAATTAATCTTATCGCAAACTGACGAAACTATCTCACTGCATTCTCTCTACAGATTTCTACGGTGACGTCACGTCGGATATACTGAACCAGTAACTGTCATAGATAACATGCCAAAGATAATCACGGGCAAGAGACTTCACACTGCACTATGATCGTCCTGGCACCAATCTGAGAAAAGTGATATTGTGGGATTTCAGGATCACATGTAGTCGGGTACGTGTGGAATAGTGTGAGGTTTTTACTGAAATCGGAAGATTGGCTGTCTTCTGGGCTGTTGCGCTGTGTAGACTGGTAAAAGTTTACAGACGTTTCAGAAATCCTTGCTCCCCTGATGATGGGGGTAGCAAGGACGTCGGTAAACTTCGACCACACTACAAAGCACAACCCAGCAGACAGCCACCTCCAAAAAATGTCGTTTTGACAATAATCATGATTTACACAATCAAATGCTTTAGAAAGATCACAAGACATCCCACCAACGTGCATTTTATTATTAAGAACAGTTAAGATTTCATCTGTAAAACTGAAAATGGCTTTCCTAAATCCAAATTGTTTATTTGCAAGGACAGTGGGTGTTTAAAGTCACTTACTTTCTAACATGACTTTCTCAAAATATTCTAGAGAACCATGATTGTAATGAAACTGGTCTAGTTTCAGAGGAAAGAACTGTCTCAATCTTTAAGGTATCCTAAAGGTGAAAGTAATGTTAGGTTAAGTTGACCTGAAGATGTAAATTGTATATTCTTCTAAAACACTGGCAACTACAAGCAAGAATATATCACAACTGACTACAATCAACACATAACATACCATTTAGTACATGTTTTTGTTCATACAACAATGGGGAAGACTACCATGTCCAGGACACAATGTCACATTCTGAACAAGCAAACTAATAGATTGGTACAGCAATGGCCCAGTATTTCTGTGGCCAGTATATAAGTCCCATGGAATGCAAGAAATTATCAGAGATATACAGAATATCAAGCACAGACATGAGCCAAAACTGTATAGTTTGGCTCGGAGTGGTAACAGGTGTATCTTCTGGATTTGTGAAGTTGTAATCTTTCTATTTTGAATCCAAATACAGATGCCGGCACACTTGTGATATTGGTATGTCTGAGACAGGAGGTATCCCCCCTTCAGGCAACATCTTATTCTGTAGACTAAGAGCATGCGGATCTGTTATTGTGCGAAGGTCACTAAGTGGTGGAGTCATGGTCAGATTGACGGCTGGGTAGATTAATGCACCAAACACAGCTACAGCCAGACCAACATGGATTGGTATAGCAACGGCCCAATATTTCTGTGGCCAGTACACAAGTCCCACAGAATGCAAGAAGCTATCAGGGATTACAGCCCATACAAAATAGAGTGCAAAGGCTGAGTAACAGCACAGATACAAAACAAATCCATAAACAGCTCGGCTTGGAGTGGGAGCAGGCGTATGTTCTGGCATTGTGAAGTCTGTAGAAGTTCACACAAAATTATTACAACAATCTTCAAATTCATCCACTTAAAAAGTACGTAATATACAACTTCTAATAATGGCTATACTCTTGACTTCTTGGTGGTCCAAATTGCTCCATTGTTTCAATAAGTAATATCATGTTCTCCATAAGTGAAGTAACAGCAACTCGCAACTGACGAGCTTCAGGAGCAAACAAATTTCTGAAAATATTAAAGAAAGGTCAAACTAACGATCTGTGTTAACATCTCAAGTGATGGCGATATACCAACTTGTAGCTTAAATATGATACTTATCTAAAACCACACATGAAAGTAAATTAAATTATACTATTTATTCCGTATCATGGCACTGTGTAGATTCATTGGTCTCTACTGATGAGTTTACATAGTGCACTAAGACCCAGAATATCATCAAGCACATCCTCAAATTTTATAATTACACAGAAATGGAAGGCAGCATGTTAAAAAATGCCAAAAGTTGTTCACAAAAGATACTATAGTGTTCCTTGGTGAGCATTATTGATTTTGCAATGCACATTAAAACCGCAAGATCTAAGTTAATCTTAGCTTACCATATCAAAACTGTCACTTGCTGGAGAAGGTTGGAGTAGTAACTGGATAAGCTGTGAAAATGAACACAGAACCCTAACCCCTTCCAAGGGTTTCAGATCCATTGCTCATACAATAAATACAATGTAAAACTGGCCACTAAAATCAACTACTACAGAAGTTTAGAATTTCAATGTCCTCCATTTACCCTTGAGGTGAAATGTTGAGTATTGTACTAATAAGACAGGTGGTACCATGCTAATGGGACATATATGGTGGGTAGCCCCATCAGACTAAAGAACATCTACTTATATGACTGCCTGAACATGAGCCCAGACCAACCTTTGGCAAACCCTGCCAAAGTTATATACCATAACAATAACTGTCGCTCTATAACTATCCCTGGATATAGTACTTACATTCCATTTATGCAGAATGTCAGACTTAATACAAATATAAACATCTAAATATACAGTATTATAACTATTTTCAGACTAAGTACAGATTATAGTAAACACGTCAAAAATTTGATAACGGAAATGAGACTCAATCCAAACAAAAATTTGATAACGGAAATGAGACTCGATTCAAGACGGCTTTCTCACATGTTTAATATGTTTGCCTCCAAATGTATGTTTTTCCTCACACCACCTCTCTTTGGTTCGGGATCAACTCTAAGGACTTGGTACGCTATATCAGCTTCCCTGTTTGACGGGAATGGTACGGTAATTGTGCTGAATTATTAGTTAAGTAATATATTCTGTACACATTCCAACTAAACCGATTAGTTTATTTTAGAATAGAATAGAATTTATTTACATTCCATAGATCCTTCTTAGGACTTAACCAAAGGATGTAGAACATGTCATTTTATACAATATATATAAACTTCAGATCTTTCGACACAAGTACAAGAACATATTTGACATATCAACTTCAGATTCTGCAATACAAGTCTACAGAATAGTAAGAGTGAGTGAAGAGGTAATCTTTCAATGCAGGCTTGAATACCTTTATATCATAATTTAGACTTTTAATTGTTATTGGAAGATTATTAAATAACTTGATACCTGTATAGTACACTCCTTTCTGATATTTAGTAAAGTTAGCATTTGGCACATAGAGGTCATGTTTACATCTTGTATTTAAATTCTGTACATCTGTATTTCTTTTAAGTTTATCCAAGTTTTCCATCACAAATGATAGCAAGCAGAGTATAAATTCACTTGCAAGTGGAAGTATATTAAATTTGCAAAATAATTTTCTACAAGATACCCTGCTTTTGACACCATCTATTATTCTAATTATTTTCTTTTGCATGTAAAAGCTTTATTACTGTCTGTTGAATTTCCCCAAAAGATTAATCCATATGACAATACAGAGTGAAAGTATGCAAAGTAAACTAGCTTTAAAGTATCTATTATCATGAGTGGTACGACTGTTCTCATGGCAAAGCATGCAGAGCTTAATTTGGGAGTAATATACTCAATGTGTTTCTTCCAATTTAAGGTATTGTCAACTTGTAAGCCAAGGATTTTGTTTCAACTTCCACAATTAATTTTTCTTCAAAACCTATATTTAACCTAGGATATGCCTTGTGCTTAGTAACAAATTTTATGAAGTTTTTTCTTTCTTCAAAATTTAGTGCCAGTTTGTTAGCTCTATACCATCTGTTTACGTTTGTAAAGACATCATTCATGATATTTTCAAGATAGACCAATTCTGAGTGTGTAATAATGATACTTATATCATCAGCAAAAAGAATAGGTTTGGATATACAGTTTATAGTTGCCAGCAGGTCATTGATATATATGACGAAAAGGGTCCAAGAATAGCTATTGACAGATTTTTGGAACTACAGTATTACAGCAAAATAATTAGGAGAACCGTCACCATTATTACTTACATGTATTTATAAATTCTTCTACTGAGTAGGAGTGAGATACTCTTTTAACGCTGGCTCAAAACATTTTTATATCGTGGTTTAAACTTTTTATAGTAGGTAGATTATTGAATAACTTAATTCCAGTATAGTAAACTCCATTTTGATATTTACTAAGGTTAGAAATCGGCACATGAAGGTTGTATCTTTATCTTGTTCTTATATTGTGGATAACTGTATTTGTTTGAAATTTTTCCATGTTATCCACTACAAATGACAATAGTGAGAGAAAGAATTCAATGGGTAGTGGAAGAATATTAACTGTAATTGGTAAGCTGAAATGTAAAATACAAAGGATACGCTTTAACGCCACAAACCCCTGCCATGCTTCATTTGACCACACATTGATATGGCTACATAACCTGACCAAGTATACATATTAGTAATACCCACAGATATTTCCACCAGTAATACCAGTATTAAGGAACTGTACGATGTTCCTGTTTCCTTTAAGTAACCATGGGAATTATTTGGCTTGTCTGTGATGTAGGGAATACGGATAAGTGAGATTTTCGTAATTTTTTAATCTGTGATAGAGCCAATATGGCGGATTGTTTGTGAATGCGGATTGAACCACCCGGTTATTATTTTGCACCATGTGTACCATGTATTTTCTGAGTGGGATGTTCTCAAAAATGATTCTGTTCTATGGAGTTTGTTAGCTGTACTGTGCACACAGAATATATTATTTTAACTATTGTTACCTCTTAATAATTATAAATTCTTTGTCAGAGTGCCAACAGCAATGAACCTATGACAGGCAAACAATAACGCACCCACCCCATGGTGCAGTATATTTTTAAGTCGATTGTGTACTCGGCTTGCCAGTGAATAGCCCACTTTCTTTATGAAACCTGAAGGTTCATCAGTGATCACAAACTCCTGCCACCAGACCCTATCCTGAGCCAGCTGCATCCAGTATGCTCCCATCAATTCCTTTCTCCCTAAGGTCAATTTTAATGTTATCCTCCCACCTACGCCTAGGTCTTGCCAGTCCCCCCCCTCAGGCCCACCAATCAGTACCTTGCCCCTCCCCCATGCATGCCACGTGGCCCACCCACCTCATCCTCCTCGATTTAATCACCCTAACAATATCAGGTGAGGAGTAGAGGCCGTGAAGCTCATCACAATGCAGTTTGCTCCACGATCCATCTTCCTCCGTCTTAGGTCCAAATATCCTCTTCAACACTTCTCAAAAACCCTCAATCTATGAACCTCCCTCAAAGGGAGAGACCAAGTTTCACTCCCATACAGCATAAATGGCAAAATTACACTTTGGTATATTTATACCTTTAGTTTATATATATATATTCCGGATATAACGCGGGTACATCATCTTTTCCATAGTGCAGCAAAAAAAAAAAAAAAGCATCAATTATCCTTCACACAGAACTGGAAGATTCATTTCTTAACACGTACCGTTACATTACCTACCAAGTAGCGATATTTTTTGTTCATACTGTACTTTTATTCAGAAGCCTTTATTTATATACAGTACGTTGTACTATGACTCATAACGTAGGGAAGTGTACTGAACTAATTAGGCCTAACAGATGATGATTAATGATGAATTTGTGCCAGAAGTAAAACGTCATTTACGCGCCAAAAATCTGGAATCTTCTTTTAATTGATAATTGTGCAGCTCACCCTCCGGCAGATCTGTTAAAATTGTCAGATGGAAGAATCAAAGTTGTTTTTTTTACCAAAAAATACCACAGCATTGATTCAACCACTGGATCAAGGTATAATTCGGGCATTCAAAGCATATTACCGGCGAGAGTTGCTTACCTATATTGTAAATTCAGAAATGACGGTGCAAGAATACCTGAAAACGTTAACAATAAAAAATGTCTTATATTTTTTACCAAAAAATACCACAGCATTGATTCAACCACTGGATCAAGGTATAATTCGGGCATTCAAAGCATATTACCGGCGAGAGTTGCTTACCTATATTGTAAATTCAGAAATGACGGTGCAAGAATACCTGAAAACGTTAACAATAAAAAATATGTCTTATATCATAGGCCTGGCGTGGAATTCAGTTAGTTCTAAAACAATAAGAAACTGTTAGTCGAATTGTACTGCTAGTAACAGTAGTCCTGAAAGTGAAGTTTTACTTTTCACCGACGAAGACGCTCGTGAAACTTCAGATATTATTGGCGAAAAATTATCGGTTGAAGAACTCAATGCGTGGATTCAAGATGACGATGAAGTTCCTGCCGTTAATCACATGACTGACGAAGAAATAATGACGGTACTGCAGCAAAGAAAAAATAATATGAATGGGGCATCCGACGAAGAGAGTGAAAATGAAGAAATTACGGAAAACGAACCACCCAGAATTAATGAAGTGTGATTTCACATAAAAATCCACAGTTAACCTTAATTAAAAATGGCAAGCGTTTCAGCCACATCAGCCTACACCAAAATGAACGTTCTGCTTTTGCAAAAATATCCTTGTTTTGTTATGTCATGTCACAATATAGACACTGTAGATAAAGTTATAAGATACACTAGCTTCTCCACTCTGATGGAAGCAATGAAATAAGCAATGCATATTGTCAACATTACGTTTATTAAGACTTTACAACAGTATCTTGTACTCATTATGTCACAACTCTAATCATGCAGCTTTTGTTACCGATTCTTGCTGTTCAAACTTCGGAAACTTAGATTCCACAGCGCTCCAAGCAGTCTTCCCGTATGCCAAGTCGCGCACGACTTCCGGAAGGACATCGAGCTGAAACGACAGACAAACTAGTGTGACAGATTACAATTCAGTGCTTGACTTGATAGCATAGCAGCTGTCTAATTAAATCATTAGTACAAGTTTATTTTCACTAATTATACCCATTCATGGCGAGATCTCTCTGCTTAATCGGGGGTCATACAAAGTTGGTTCATGGGTCACATGAATCATATAGGAATTCAACTTAATGAATCCCTTGTTTGACTACAAAAGTAAAATGTTTTTTTATGTTCAGTACAGTGCTATAACTCCTAGCTTTAACGGACAAAAGAATATTAAATTGAATCTCTGTTACTTCCCTGATGATGTGGTCCATGTACGTGTGCATGCGCATGCACGTGTACAGGATACGAGTTTCCTGTGTAAGACGTGAGGGTTTCACGACGGTGAGTCCGAGGATGGCTGTCTTCTGGGTTGTTGCGCCGTGCAGTCTGATGATGGAGGCAGCAAGGACCTCTGAAACGTTGGTAACCTTCTACCAGACTACGTGGCGCAACGACGCAGAAGATGGCCATCTTCAGACTAGTTCCCGACAACTGAATGTGATGGCGAAGTTAAAACTGTGTTTTGCCATGGCTAACTGGATGATGTCTGCACATATTTCTTTATATGCCATATAAATAACATCACGGCACATTGCATGTCTGAAGACAAAATGTTGAAAGAGTCATCAAGATACAGTTAGCTCTCTGTAAGTATTTCAGTATCAAGAACAAGGCTTTCAACTGAACAACTAAAAACTGAATTCCATAACCTCGTAAACCTGGAGCTTTATAAAGAACAATGTACGAACCATGAAACAGAACCAATAATTTGTTAAGAATCCGTTCAAATTTCTTCACAATCAATTTCTCCAACATACAATGTTCCAAATTAGATGCAATACAGAACAAGCTTAGTTTTAACAGGTCACAAATAGTTCCTGGACCTACTTCAGCTGCGTTGTAAAATAACGGTCTGTAAAATGCATTCATTTTCTAGCACCTCTGTACAATGCCCTGAATGCCGTTGTCGGAAACAACCAACAAAGTTCATGGCAGTTTATTAAAACGCTACTAATTTAATATCAAAGTGTTTCTGAACATATATTATGGCTTGTTATTTTTATTGCTTAAAATTAAATACGGGCTGCTTAATTTAGATGGGAACTATTTTTTCTGTTTTAATTTTTAGACTGATATGATAAAAAAAAACTGTACATACAGCACACAAAACGGTGGGCAAAACATTGTGAACTTCTGTTTTAGAATGTGTACTGCAAACTAGCCATCACCCACCATTTCTTCATCGTAATCTCACGTGGATATTACTGAGAGACAAACCACTGTCTACAAAACCTGATTCACTGCCACTTAATGTATTAAAACACAGAATCTGTTTCTCAACATCTTTAAACAATTTTTCTCTTTTATGTTTTGGCACAGCTGACAGTCCAGTAAGGTATTCCTTTTCACAGAGCTATGGAAGTAGACTGATTAATTTTAAGTTCAAGATGTGACCATTTATATGTGCAGGTTGGTAGTCTTGCAGAACAGGAGAAAATAATGCAAAATCACTGTGAAATACTCTGCATTCAAAATCTCCACAAGCTCAGCGATACAAAACAAAGGCCTTATCAATTATGACGATCCAAAATCATTCTTCATTCAATTGCTGGATGGCACGAAGACTGTTTCGGCAGCTGAGATACTACTAGACTTATGTACAGAACAGTACCTACTAGAAATATCAACTGATAACGCACATTTCGTCCAGCATGCTTAAAATTAATTCATGGAAGATATTAATAAATTCATAAACGTAAAGCAAACGTAATACGATGGGTTCCATAATCCCCTGGTCAAAAAATGACACAGAAGTGATTATTAAATAATGGTACTATTTCTTCTGAATGCACATATGTGCACTGGTCTCCCTCCAATCACGTGGTGGGTGGTAGGTGACTGCCCCTCCTGTTTGTTTACATCAGAATTGTTATTCAGTGAGAGAAGGAATAGCGGAATGATATTCACGTCAACGCCCATGAAAATCCATCAACTGGTATAAAAATTAACGAGGCAGGAAACACACAGTCACAAAACAATATTCCAATCTTTCCTTACAAGATAATGAAAGTTAAGTAAGAACGTACCGTGGGCATTCGAGAACAAACTACTGAGGAAAATACTTGGATGCAAGGAAGGTGGAAGACGGAATGACGTAAAGAGCATCATGATTTTTAAATCAAGACGAGGCTTGGGACGTGACAGGTAGCATTTATGGGGAAACACATACAAAATCGTGGTCAGAAAATCTACAAGAAATTAAAAACGTAGTATGTCCCACAGTAGGGTTTCATAAACATAGCAATAAACACAACTGCCTTCTAGGTTGATGCGCTGTGTAGTCTGGTAAAAGTTTACTGATGTTTCAGAGGTGTTTGCTGCTTCCATTATCAAGGCACTGATGCAGGAGACAGTCATCTTCATACTCACAGATGTGAGAACTTCCTTACATAGGAATGAACATTCAAGTTCCATAAAAGCAAAAAATTCTTGATTAACAGAGCAACTTTACCGCAGTGTTACACGAGTTACTTCATTAGGTTAAAAATTGTACTACTACAATTTAACAAAATGGCTGAAAGACCACACTTACAGGTATTCTGACTTGTGCCATGGAATCACGCTCACGTAGTGTTGCAGAATGTGGAGACTGTAGAGAATCAAAATCAATCGTAACTCCAAATGGAATGGCTATCTCGTCTGTCCGTGCGTACCGCCTCCCTATTGAACCACTAGCGTCATCCACTTTGTGAGATACGTCCAACCTTGTTAATTCTTGAGCTGAAATAAAGGCATCAACTATTCAACTGTTGCTCCATTCAGATTTTTCTGTACTGTTGACTCAACCTATGAAAATGTCTCACATACAGGTTAAAATTTTGGCCATGATATTAACTACAAACCGGGGATTTCACAGATTCTTTTAGTCTCTGCAGGAAAATGCTGTTAACAGTACTTTAAAATATGTCACTTCCCTTTACTGCAAATTCATTATTCAAAATCATAATATCTATATCTCTGCAGTTGATATAACCTGTTAAATAACAAACTAACAAAGGGACCTGGTAAATCGTTATCCTCTGATTTGGCTCCGGTTTTGCAGTATGGAAATCGACCCTCCTCCAGACTTCCCGGCTAAAACATTAGGTGTTGATACTTCCATTTCTTAGTAACATGCAATTTTATATGTTTTATTTTCTTTACCGTTGTATTATAACTCTAATAAAATAAATCACGTGACTGCAGAAGCTCAATCGGCAGTGTGTCTATCGTGGGGGAAACTCGTGTTCAATTCCAAGTTAAGTTTTTTTTAAACCATTAATTCTATAATAACTTCAGAGACTATAAAATTTCAATTACTTTTCCAAGTTTTTACATTTATTTATTTTCATTCGTTTATTAAAATTTGAGAATGAGCGAGCAACATTGAAAAGCATCAAAAACACCAATATTTTACAACAGTGAAGTTTCACACAGGTTAACTGTGTTATAATTTCGTCTATAAACATATTCTTTGGTCATGTCAATAATAACACTGCATCAATAACATATTTTCGGGCAATCAGCCACGTTAACGTGGCTGATTGCCCGAGAAGATTGTATTGAACAATTTCCCGAAACGTCGGTTTACTACGGAATGTGTACTACGGTAAAACGTTAACGCGGCTGATTGCCCGAGATGATTTTATTGAAATTGTTCCTGAAGTGTCAGTGTACTACGGTAAAAAATTAACGCGGCTGATTGCCTGAGAATATTTTATTGAATTTGATTCCGAAACGTCGGTTTACTACGGTAACCAGTTAACGCTTCCGATTACTTATAATATTGTGAATATGGACATTCGTCCTTGTGAGCATTCGTACGTGTGAGCATTTATCAGTGTGAGCATTTGTCAGTGTGAGCATTTATCAGTGTGTGCATTTGTCAGTGTGAGTAATTTTCGTGTGAGCATTCATGACAGTGAGCTTCTTTCTGTGCGCAATTTTCGTGTGCGGTTTTGTCATGGAACCTAAGTTAGGTATGTCAAAATAGTTTTGAACACATCAGACTAGGGTGACAGGCTTGTAGGACTCTGGCTGGTACTCACAACTGCATGGAAAACACAACAAATTTAGATGCCTCCAACACCTAACCATAGCTTGCTTCTTCACCTTGGAATGCAACATAATTTACGTTACAGAAAACTTTACACAATGTTATTAGTTTGGCAGCATACCTTATCATAATTTGGAAATGTGTAAAGCTTCACTGTTGTGCAATATTGGTATATTTTCAACCTTTCACGCCGAGAAACCAGCTGTGCTCCTCTCATCATTCAACGTGAATAAAGAATAAAGGAAATAAATAAATGCACACTTAAACATAGGAATCAAACCCTGGTCACCAGCACGAAAGTAAACATGCCACCTCCTGAGCTTTATTAGCCAACGGAAGAATACCCATGAAGATTTCCGTCTTCTGGGTTGTTGCGCCGTGTAGTCTGGTCGATGCTAACCAACGTTTCAGAGGTCATACTGCCTCCGTCATCAGGGCGATGAAATCTTCATACTCACCACTGTGAAAACCTCAAATCTTACAGAAGAATACCCATGTCTGGTGATTTATGAAGAATGTATTACAAAGACACGGTGGAATGTCAATACAGGCAACTCTCGGTTTACAAACGTTCAATTTACGAACATTTGCTATAACGAACATCACAATTCATTCAAAATTTCTTAAAGTCACCAATAGAAATGCCAAACGTATAGTGAACATAATTCTAAGATTTAAATAAATAAACTTTTAAAAAATGTATTTATTACAACAATTATCAGAAAGTTATTACATGATAATTATACTGAACTGTTCTTGGTTCTAGCCAGTAAAAAAAACGTTGGTTTACATGCCACGCCGCGTAGAATTTTTTCTCGTGGGAAAGAAATCGGTGATTCCCCCTATTATAATATAACAGGACCATCACTTGCATGCGATGTTTAGTACATGGTTTTAATGCTTTAAAATGGCTACTAACGTATACGATACATATCATAAACGCTCAGGAATGCAAGATACAACGTCTTGGAACAGAACTCGTTCGTAAACCGAGAGTTGCCTGTACCTAATATTTTGGCAAGGATGTCAGAGGAGCATCTACTGCCACACTGCAAAACTAGAGCCAAGTCGGATGATAAATATCAATCAGATCCCATTGTAACAGAGATATTAGAGTGAAAACAATCTGAAAATCATGTCTTTGCCTTGCTTTCATCCCCAAGGGAGATACACTGCATTTAGAAAGTATTCAGCATAATACCTCAGTCAAAATGATATAATAAAGTTCAGATAGACATGCACATAATCCCTTCATTACTTAATTACAGCCACAGGTAAAATTTATAAATTGATAGACTAAAAATTTCAAAATGTCAAAATATGGTAACAAATGTTGGTAATGTCAGTATGATAGAATAAATTGTAAAATTTAAAAAAATTGCACAAAATATTCAAAATATTTATGACATGGTATGACATGTTAGCTACTAAACGGTCCTGGGTTCAGATCACCAAGCTATAATAGCAAATCTCATTGACTGCATTATCAAGTTCAGGCCAAACGTTTAACCGAAGAATATGTCCCGTCATTTGTAACATATTTTACGAAGATACTCACACAACCGTCTGATGAAGGGCTGGAACTCAGCATTGCCACTCAGCGGCAGCAATGAACATTTGAGTGGTGCCACCACTGGAGGAAGAGACAGGAACTACAAAGGAAATTATGACAATCTGCATGTCAGTTAAAGCAGTATTAGCAATGTGTAAACACCCAACTACAAGATTTCAAACTTGATTTTAAACTTCAAACTTATCACTATTTTTATCTACTAAGCCTTAAAACACCTGCAAAATTCAAATCAGATGTGTACGAACACCATTACATCAAAAATAAAGTAGCAGACGTCACTCTTACATATAAAGTATGTTGTCATGTAAAAGAAATGTACGTAGCATAAATTTCCTTTTCAACAAGTTGTACAACAAGCCTGCCAAACTTTTTTTTTTGTTGTGTGAGCAACTTCGGCAAAATTTGGTCTGTATGCGGGCAACACGAAGTTCAATACATATATATTTCTACAATAAAAATACACTAATGATGCGAAAAAATTGTAAAAAATGCAATTCACAACCTAGGCTACGGTGTGTTTATTTTTAGCAAACTTTTAAAAAAATGAATTTGTAATGTAATGTAATGTATGTCTCCATAAATAAAAAGCTCATAACCTTTTTAAAAAATTATTGCATAGATTTTAACTTGAGAGTGATCTTTTGCACATTGCCAGGGACATTTTTTTATTCAAATGTCTCTGCGGGCAACATGTTGCCAGTGAGCTACAGCTTGGGGCAGGCCTGTTCTACAAACTCCTCAGATATTTTTTAATTGGGTGAACTACAACTTTTCTTGATTAACTTTCATCTTCAAATAAAGTAATAAGTCATGACTGGACAACACACTTAAAAATTACATTCAAATTTGTTATTATAGTATAATTTGGAATTCAGCTGCGATCAGTTGGCCAAGGAATCCTTCCACAAGGCAGTTAGTGTAGTACAGTTCTTGAAGTCAAACCAAACTGAATCCAAACACCTTTTTAAACAGAATTCATATCATGTCCTTTACTTTGTAACCTTCATAGAACAAATACGGCCTATAACGAGAACTTCATTACACCAAAATAAATCAGAACCATCAGTCAATTTGTTACCGTCAATACAAGGGCTTTAATCAGCACTTTCATCATAATGAGTGATTCCCAACTGGCCACCAGTCATCCATAATTTTTTTTGTATCAAATAAACTTGTAATTTTGCTTTGCAAACTGTGATGAAAAGGAAGGGCCACTCTGTACATTTTGTCAAATAAAAAACTTTCAGGATTTGAGGTTTTCACAGTAGTGAGTATGAAGATTTCTGTCTTCTGGGTTGTTGCGCCGTGTAGTATGGTGGAAGTTTACCAACGTTTCGGAGGTCTCACCGACTCCGTCATCAGGGCACAGCTCCGCCCTTTTTCCTTTCTCTCCGTCTCTCTCATACCTCCATGACATGCCCACGCACTCCTATTGGTCCCCACCCATGTCTGATTCAACACCTGCTCCCATTGGCTAGGATTAGGTTACTCCATTCACCGTCCGGTCCCTACAAACCTAGCCCTCTCCACTCAATTGGCTCATTCATCGCCCTGATGACGGAGGCAGTATGACCTCTGAAACGTTGGTTAACATCCACCATACTACACGGTGCAACTACCCGGAAGACGGAAATCTTCAAAAAACTTTCAATTTCTTACAAAGACCTGTAACCTAGACACAAAACTACAATCTTACCGTTCTCTGCTCGTCTCCTTCGCGCACTCTGAAATTATGTTCAAACAAGGCATACATGATTCGTCCGATGCCAAATGACGGTTCAACCACATTGGGTATTATCTCCTCTACATGAACAGTTTTCTGATGCTGTTTAATGGACACCATTTCAGGTGTCAACTTGAACTCTGCACCTCCAACGTTGACGACGTAACCACTGAATAATAGAACAGCGATATGAACAATAATAAAGGAAGCGAGACTGGAATAAATAGGAGAGAGACAAGAGATGATGCAGTGAAAAGAGCATAGCTGTCTAGTCAAATTGCATGAACAGACAATGTCAAAAGTGCATTAAATGCAGAATTAAAGTTATGACCTAGAACATGATAAAGTTGCAAATTGAAGGGAATACAGAGAGAACAAGTAGAGATTAGTAACAAATACAAGATAAATGTAACTCCAAAGACTATGAAACCTCCGAAAGGAGGCGGCCATGACCCGTTACTGGGTTAAGCTACTAATAAATAGAAATGTAACTCTAGAGTGTTCTAATGACGATGAATTGCATTCAGCGATGTTGTTTCTCTGGACTTGTTCCATCGTTCTCTATAAGAACAACAAGGAATGTAGGATTTGAGGTTTTCACGACGGTGAGTGTGAAGATTGTTGTATAATGGGTTGCTGCGCCACAGTCTGGCAGTTTACCGATGTTTCAGAGGTCCTTGCTGCCTCCATCATCTACCAAACTACACGGCGCAACAACCCAGAAGACAACAATTTTCAACAACAACAACAAAGCTGTCTTTGCTCCTGTCTTCAGATGATAATGCTTACTCTATTCTGTCCAATCAAAGTGGCTATTTCCAATTCAAGTTTTGTTTTTAGTACACGGAACAACGGACCGAGCCCAGCAAAACTGAACAGGATGAACGGTTATGGGACAAGATAAGAACAGTGAAGTCACTTCACAAAACTGGATGTGTACATGGTAGGGATGATCAACTAACTTGCTACACGCAGGCATATACAGGATGACGTCTCACCCATTAGCTGCCAGAGACTTCTCCAACTCTGCCAATCCATGTGTGTCAAGTACTGCCAGATGATCCATTATGATTTTTGCATCCTTCTTGAAGGCTTTTCCTATGACACCTTTGTTTATCTGAGGTTCTATAACAAGAGAATGAACATGCCATAGACACTACAATATTTAATTTTCCACCTTGCCTACTGTCAAACGGTCACTGTGACATACAATGTAGCAAATTATAGTTAATTATTTTTTATTATTAGTGCTCTGTCTGAGGACAGGTCCATATGAACAGGATCCTTCCATCCTTTTCTCGGACTGGGACCTGTTCATATACGTTCTTGGCAGATGATCCAGAAGTGGTTTGCCATTGCCTTCTTCTGTGTGTGAATGGAGTAATTGTTGGGATGCCACGGAGGAAAACTCCGTGTTGCCTAGACCACGGCCTTGCCCAACACAAGATATAAATTCGGGCACCGCCGGGAATCGAACCCGAGACCCCAGGATTACAAGGCCAGCGTTCTAACCGCTAGACCACCGTGGCTGTTAGTTAATTATAGTGTATTTAAATTATACACTTATTACAGTCCAACTCATTGATGCAATGCCCTAAGCAGACTGTATGCATGAAGAGTCACCACTGTTTCACCACCTCATACACACACATATTCTATTTCCCCAAAGTTTCGTTCATTAAAATATGTTATAAAAATCATATTTTTAATTAATTATTGGTGGTCATATCTAATTTGCTCTTCATGATGTAAGCATTAAAAACAACGTAAACTCTCGATTACCTGGGCTAATCAAGGGGGAAGATGCGTAAATAATTAAAAAAATCCAACACTCATTTTGGGGACACACAAATTACTTTACGTTTTTTATACAACTGAAACTTAAAAAAAGTTTCGCTGTCCCACTATACGCCATGTAGGCGCTTGGGGGAGAGGCAGTATAACTCCTAATCTTTCTTGACCTTGGCACTAGATGGGGGAGAGTGGTCACCATCACTCCCCGGCTGCGCTTCACCCCCCACCAGGAAAGGACCACGGTACCCATTGGATAGGATGCAGAGGCTAGAGGAAAAATCCTCAGTCCCTTTCGGGGATCGAACCACGGTCATCCAGTCATAGTAAGTCACTATACCGACTGAGCTACAGAAATAGTGTATAATGGTCATTTGCTTTTGTAAACTCATTACGCCCCTCAGAGCAGCACAAATTTTATTTGTGGCTGTAATATCACTGTTTATGAACTGTCTCTGACCCATGTAGTCTACACACTGTAGTGTCACGCTGTGATGGACACACACATTGCTTTCTCCTTCTTCATTCTCATCTTTTACTGCACCATTATCAACATCTGTACCTGTGATTGATTCTAATCATTCTTCACAAGTCATCATGAATGCATTATCATCACAGCAAATGCACTTCTAGTCTATCTGATACTACGCTCTCTTAAACTTCATGCTGCATTTGTCTAATCAGGTAATCTTCTACAAAAATCTTATGGCAATTAATCTCCTTTATGTCCGTTCAAAAAAAACATAAAATTCATGGAATGTATAAGATGTCCATGTTACATGGTCTATACAGGGAATGGAATCAAAAAGATTTTACTCAACGTAATACTTCAACCAATTACTGTATAAATATAAATAACAGAGCCTCATCAGTGATCTTCAAGTAGGTTTACCCTGTGCTTAGCTGAAGAGAAAAATCCTGTTGACCACTTCAATCTTTCAATGTTATTAATACGCTTTTAAACACTTCTGAGCGCCCATAAAGAGATACTTCAACTTGATGAACGACGCAGACTTCAAGCCCGTCAGGTGGCTGAAAGGTGAATAAACCACATCTTCTGCCGTTTCGAGAACAATCTCCGTTCTCATCTTCAAGGCTCCTGGGTTCCTTTGCTGCGAGGAAGCTGATGGGAACTGTCAGTTTGTTCTTGAAACGTTGGCAGAGGATATGATTTATTCCCCACTCAGCCACCTGACGTGGCTTATAGCCCGAGAGTCTATCTTCAACTTCATTCGCCGTGAAAGCTTCACTTTATACATCATATACTTCGAGCTCTCCTTCCTGTACATATGTACTATATCTTCTTACTATTAAACATTACCAACAATATTTCTCACATAACTACACCAGTGAATGACCCAACGGACAATGCAATCATTATAACGGCATAATAAAGGGTTCTTGTACATTTCATTTCCTTCACTGTCATGTGTATAATGCGAGAGCACGATTCTGTCCATGATCAACTGAAAGGATAATAAAAGAATAAACATAACATGTGAAGTGTGACGCTGGGCATAACAGACACAGCTTCAAACTAGCATCTTTGAAGATACACAACATGCAGCTAGATCAATGGTTCGTTTCTCACCTATGACGTCAACAACTTTTGGTTCAGCTAGCTTTTTCTCTGCTGCTAGCCGTACGCCCGTTGCTTTGGAGTGCTGCGTCAAGTCAAACGCAGATCTGTCTGCACATCCTACACATTCGACCCAGCCCTGGGTTGAAAAGAATTTTGTATTACGGTTATTTGTCGGCAAACAGTGACAAGCAGCCAACTCCACTCTTCCTTCCTATATTAAGCCAGTTAAATCTACTTCACGTCTTCAAAATGCACGTCTTTAACATCCATTTAAATATTAGCTTATCTATGTTTAACACTGTTGAAGCTGAAGCTTATCTACTTATCATTTAATAATTCAGTCAGTACCACAATAAAGTATAAGAAAACTGGAAACGGACAAACAAACTATCCCATTTTATGTACGGGACATAATCAGAAGGAAATATTTGTTTTTAAATAACACAAAAAAAACTGCGCTAAATAATAATGGCTTCTAAAGTGACCAACAAATTAAATTGAATAATTTGTCCGGAGATAGGGATTAGCTCTATCTAGTGGGCCCAACTGAGTAGGAACCTGAAGACGGAGATAGAGCCCCATCTCTGAAACGTCGTTTTACGTTTTATTACTAGACGATGGATAATATCCAAGTAAATTTTTATTCAATTGACTCTTCACCATCGTCAAGAAGTTTTAGATTTGATAAACAAATTAAATGAAGAACTTTCCTTGTGGGAAATTTGACTGTAAGTAGTTAGTTACATTAACACAAATTTGCAAGTACACTCACGTAGGAAGTCAACATCTCTGCATCCCAGCAGTCGCAAGCATAATGAGCCATCTCGTTGCCCATGTGCTGGCGGAATCTGAGCTTGGCTGGGTCCACTCCGATACGGATCAGGAACTGCTGGATTCGGGCCATGAAGTAGCCCAGGGTCTGGTTAGCGACTAGACCCTGTCACAACAATCAAGTGTAATGCAAGTCGATCCCTTCGTATGAAAGAACTTAGCTGTGTTACATATTATGCACACATATGGTCTGAATGACATATGACTGTGTCGAGACAAATTCTGCTAATTACCTGATGATTACGAAACAGAATAATGTTCTCTAAAAACATCAAAGATGTTCATTATCTAATAAAACCCTGAATGTGGGAGATATTTTCAATTTCTACTGGATAAATGGTTCTAAAACACAATATTGAAAAACTCTCAATTTAGAAGTGGACTTGGAGGACATTTCTTCAGACTTGTTAAATCTGTATGAATCATTCTAACCTTGATATGTCAGAAGACCTTATTCGAATACCAGTTGTGGAAAAAGACACAGTAAAAGACCAAGGACCAAACTCAGACAATGAAACAAACGTGTTAAGACTTAGAGCACAGTTTCTCAAGATTTCTCCGTGAGAAGATACAGAAAAACAGTAAGTTATTGTGTAACCTTGTCAACTGCTTGACCAATAGAGTGCAGTTCTGCGGACTTGCCGTCCATCTGGTTTGCAGCAGAGTACAGAAGCATCTCAGTGTCCTGTACACTTTCAAACTTCGGGTGAGTCTTTTCCGCCGGATCACAGAAGTGCTCAATTTCCGCCATCGTGAACTCTCTACCAACAACGATAAAATGCTTCGAATTAAATATGTTTTAAAATGTAACGCCCATTAATTACCTGAAATTAGCATGTCAATTTCATTGTTCTCATATCCCCAAATCATGTAACATCATACTGACCTCACTCTTATGAGTCCAGACCGCGGAGAGATCTCATTGCGGAAAGCATTCCCTATCTGCGCAGCAGCAAATGGCAGGCGTCCTTGGTTAAACTCCAGCAGGCGCTTGAAATTTACAAAGATCCCCTGTGCAGTCTCTGGTCGTAAGAAACTGTAAAATAAAGCTTATATGATGGATAGCAAACAAATTATGCATATGAAAACTACATGATGGCTCAACTCTGGTGATTGTCACTCTGATCCAAGGAACAAAGTAAAATTGCAGAAAACACGGTATAAATGAGTTCCAGGAAGAAATTATGACAGTTATGTTCCTTCAACTCCTGCTGTTCCCATTTATGTTGACACTGAATAAGCCTCTTGAATAGTTTCTGTAAATGACCCTTTAAATATTAAAATCTGGTGTATTATATGCACAGCTTCCCAAAAACAGAATGTATCTAAAGAACTGTAAAATACATAACAGTAAAATGTTTGCAGAATACCTTTAAAATACTAAATATTGTAGGAAGTTTGAATTTCATGTTCTGATAGTGCCCTTTTTCCTTCATTTGATGCATAATGCACATACAATTGCATGACCTATAATTTTTTCTAATGATATGAGCCATTCTGGAGAAGTCGTACCAAAAGGCCAACTTCTCCTCCTGCCTGGACAGTTTTGCTACATGAATTTCAGTTACATATAGTTTATTTAACAACAATTTCAGAATCTAGACTATAAAGCGTCAGACGACGGAAATGGTAGTGGCCTAATTTTAAGTACCATCCTGGCATTTGTCTGGAGGGACTGAGGAAAACTGGACCAGTGACTGAGATTAGCTCATTCTAATGGACCCCACAGAGTACACGCTCCCTTCATTATGCCTGAAGACCGAGACAGAACCAGTCCTCCAAATGTTCATGTATTTTATAACATCTGACAATGGACAAGATTCAAAAACTTAGCAATCCATATTATATTATACCACTGTCAAAATCATCCAGAATCGAAGATATTAGGTGTCGACTCTCCATTGTTTCTTTATAACGCATAAATTTATTTTAGACTTTCTTCAATTTCACTTCATAAAAATCATAAAATTAGGTGCAGTTATGCTGTATGCGACAGTTAGTAGCGCATTTGCCTACGATGCAGGTGGCAAAGATCTGATTCCCAGTGAGGTGATTTTTTTCACCATGTCTATAATGACTTTAGAGGCTGTAAAATTTTTACTTCCTAACACTTTGTATTTATTTTCTTTCTTCCTTACTCACATTTGAGAATGAGAGAAGCGCAGCTGGATTCTCTATGTGAAAGGTTGTAAATAAATTGTTCTTCTTCAAGGTATTTACAGCATGGGTCCAAGATATCACGGAGAAACATAAAATAAGGCATACGCACATGACAAAACCACAGCAGTAATGATAATGTGACTTTTGAGTAACACTTAAAGCTGCAGAATTGTTTCCAAAAGAGACAGTTACGAGGTGCGATCGGAAAGTTTCCAGACTGCGCCTATAAAAACCCGTACACTTATCTCAGGTATTAAATTCATCCATCACCCTCGAAGTAGTTCCCCTGGGAGTGAACACAACGACCCCAGCGCCGCTGCCAAGCCTGGAAGCATCCCTGGAAATCTTTCTTGGTCAGCCTGTCAAGCACCATCTGCGATTCTGCCTGAATCTCTTCTATCGTCTCAAATCTCATTCCCTTTAG